CTTGTAGCCAAAAGGTGAGGAGGAACCCAATCTTTTCCAAGCCAAGATGCTGGAAGATGGTAGCCGACCAGCCACCGAAGATCGCCCTCGTGCCCGCGAGGCCCGTCGGGCGCTCTAGGGGCTCGAGTTGGGGTGGGTGGGCCGGGGGAGGGGGGGCGAGGTTTTGTTGTTTGAGAATCAGTGGCCAGGTAGGCCCCTGATTTGATGCGATCGCATTAACTGTAAGAACATATTGCAGAGTGAGTCTTTGGGACACTATTTTGAACAACTACCTTACATATGTGTATATGTATGTGTGTATGCGGTAGCATATGCATACATACATACATACATACATACATACATACATACATACATACATACATACATACATACATACATACATAAGTATCGATCCAAATACAGATATTCTATACACAACACAGTTTGCATCTAGGACTTGGTGCTTTTTCGTGGTATGGCACCAAAAGGTTCCGATCTTGCGCTCACGGTCTTAGATCCTGGGATTCACGGGCAGGACACCGGCAAGACCAATAACGCCGGCACCTAGCTCACGCGAAAGCTCCAAGAACTTCTTGAATCCTGCTGGAGAGAGAATCAGGCCCTAACCCATGAACACCCCCCCCCCCCCCCCCCACCCCAAAATCCTGCCCAGTTTCAGGGTAATCAGGGTAAGCTCCACACCCGAACAGCAGGGTATCAGAGCCCATCAGAGCCCAGAAGTTACACAGGCCACTCCTCCAGAAGCGGAGGCGGATATGGAGCCCAAGCTCTGAGCTCAGTTGGGCGGACGTGTGCCGTGGTCTTGGTTCCTCAGCAAAGGTTTGGGTGTAGGGTTTTGGGTTTTTGGGACGAGGTTCACTGCAGCTCAGGGATGTAGGCACAGCCACTATAGTAGAGACGCTGGCATGGCCACTTCCTGTGATTCGGCGAACGCTGCTGCCAAAGGTCTGCTGAAACACAGCACTTCCATCGTGCGATTCTCAGGTGTGAGCTGAAGTCTCGCGGGCAGCTTCATTCACCCTTGGACCCAGCATCTCCAAAACCGGCCAAGTCCCTCATGTCCATCGTGCGTACATTGCTAGATGACGGGGAGTTCACAAACTGGGCTGTGAAACCGGAGGCCACACCCACATCGCCGAGGCCGGTGCTGCCTTTCTTGGCGCGTCTAGTTGTTGAAGATTCTCCATTACAAGCTTCATCGCACCTTCAGATGGCTGGTTGCAGATGTTTTTCTGCTTCGGGAGGAGATCACAGCTCGTGCACGGAGACTACATGACGCAGCTTGCGAGGCAAGCAGGTTCTGATTTCCCGCGAGTTAGCACTTTGAGCAGCTGCAACAGGGAAATGCAAACAGCAGTGCCAGTGGCAGAGATGTTGGTGCTTCGCATCAGGCTCAGCTGGGCAACTCCCGGCAACAAGGCCAGAAGACTGGCAAGTCTGACAGCTGGGGCTAGGTTTGGCTTGGCCCTCTTGGAGACCGTAAGCAACGGTATAAGTTGATATGGGAGTTTACGAAATAAGGGACCCCTCATGTAGCCCCCCAAATATTAGGATTCCCTTATAACAAGGACCCTCAAATTCGGTACCCCTTAATCTCGGAAAACCCCATATTGTTATGTCCACTGTGGCAACTTGTATACATTGTGTCCTCAACCATCTTTCACCAGCACAGTTGCTGAGATCCGAAGTCCAGACTCTTCAACATACATAAATATAGACAGGCTTGTACAGATGATGCCCGGCATCTTCATCTTCTTGCAACTTGCAAGAATCCGACCATAACTCCAACCTCGATGGAGGAGAACCTTCCAGGTAAGACACAGAGCCCAACTCAATGCGTTACAGCCTTGAAGAGCTTGAAGCCTTGCTGCTCGAGCCCCAACCATTCCGGAGGTGTAGGAAGCGCATATTTCGCATGACCCAACCCTCCCTGCGCCCTCCACCCCATGAAAAGCCTCTTTCCCTTGGAAGCCTCTACTGCAAGCCCTAAACCCTTAAGACCCCACACCCGAAACCCCTAAGCCCTAAACCCTAAACCCTAAACTCTAGACCCTAAACCCTAATTAAACCCTAATTAAACCCTAAACCCCAAACCCCAAACCCCAAACCCCAAACCCCAAACCCCAAACCCTAAACCCTAAACCCTAAACCCTAAACCCTAAACCCTAAACCCTAAACCCTAAACCCTAAACCCTAAACCCTAAACCCTAAACCGTCGCGAGGTGCTCCGCACCCCAGCAGTGAGAGTCCCGATCCGAGGCTGCCCAGGCTCTGCTGAGGCTTCCCAGAGGCTCCAACATATACCAAACTCTAAACCCTAAACCCTAAACCCTAAACCCTCGTTCAAGTAAGGAGATAGGGTTTGGGGTTCGGGGTTCAATGCAAGTTTACAGTTCCGGGATCTTCCGCAAGTCATGGTCAGATGGCTGCAATCATTTACACGCTACTTCACTACTAGCAAAAGGTATGTTGGAGTCTCCGGGTTCGGCTTTGCTGCAAAAAGTGTGGCCATGGGCCATGGGCCCCATGGGCAGTGTCAGGAGCCACGGACCCCCAAGTACTCGCTATGAGGGTCTTTTCGGGCGTACATATAGGTCTCAATTGGGGGTTCCAGTTGTCTCTAAACGGGGTGAGTGTGTGCCCCCCTTGGAGAAGAGCCGACTGGCAAACTCCGCCTGCAGATGTTGGAGCCCGTGGGGCTTGGGGTCTAGCGCAAGCTTTACATTACTTAAGGCGCCGGGATTCTAGACACGTTTTTGGGTTCTGTAGGGAAAGAGGCTAGACGCTTAGGGGCTTTGTGATGCACTTGCTCTTGGTAGGGCTGTTCGCTGCAAGTTCTGCGAGCACGAGACTTTGCCTGCACATCCCAGAGCAAAATGGAGGATGTGACATGTCAGGACTCTCAGCAAGGAAGTAGCTGGGTATCCAGTACATATATATATATATATGTTCCCCTGAAGGCTTTATTATATCGGGGGACGTCCAATGCTTGTGCCAGCAGCAGAGAGATTCTAAGCATCGGCGCGAGATCAGTTCTCTAGATTTCGTGGCATCGTGTTTAGGGTTGAGGACTTAGAGTGACCATAGTTTCAGAGAACTGATCATATCTCTCCAGACCCACTGAGACGCAGCCCAACCAAGCAGCTGCAGTGCTTTGCTGGGCCAGGCATTGGATGGGGTCCCGCAGAACATCGCAGAGATTGTCGATGCAAGCCGGACCGGGTTGCAGGCGTGAACTTGAGTGGCTGATGTTTCAGATCCTGTGGTGTGGCCATGTATTCAGAGTATGAGGCGCGCTTCCCTAACCTTAAGACAGCTAACCCCTACCGAAGAGGAACGGTACGCAAAGCGCAAGGTCGCGAGGACAAAAAGGGCTGCTCCCAACGACTTCCGGCCCAATCGGATGATCAAGGCCCCGATTGCTTCGAGAATCTCAAAGCGTTGGAGAGCGTCATGTAGGGTCTCGGGGGAGGTAGAAGAACCTCCACAAACCCTAAACCCTGAACCCCAAGCCCTCGGTGAAAGCTTTGCATCCCCCACCGCGTTGCGGTGTGAGCAGCTCCATGCATGTGGCGCAGGGCAGCACCCGCACCTCCAGGGTGATGCAACGAAGCTGTGCCGATCGCAGTTCGGCATGCGTGCACGTAGCCCTGTGAGCATAAGTCACATGAAATGAGCACCCTAAACCCTATAAACCGTAAACCCTAAACCCTAAACCGTGTGTTCTGGACTTGCTTGTTGTTGCTTTCTCCTTTAGGGTTTAGGGTTTAGGGATTTTCACACTACTGGTTACGTCCCACTGGCAGCTGCAAGGTGCTTGGAATACAACGCATAACCGGGATCAGGCCTCCCAGCGGACACATCCGAGAGTGGGCCCATGCTGGGGCTACCCAAAAGCAGGGTTTCCGGGTTTAGGGTGTAGGGTTTAGGGTTTAGGGTTTGGGGTTTAGGGCAGGGGTTCCTTCATTCGGATGAAGGGGTTTAGGGCTTGGGGGGGGGGGGGGGGGCGCATTCTTCATATGGAATCGGAATATCCTACGAATCAGGGGTGCTCAAAAGGGACCCTAATAGCAACCCCCGCGCATGTCTGCCAGGTTGATGCTGTCAAAGGATAGCTCAGCAACTGACCACATTTAGCAAAAGCGGTTCTTAGCAGGGAAATTAGGGAACTAGGTATCTAGGTGCCCTGTACAGCAACTTGAAGGAACCTGGGTTCCTGATTCCCGAGTTCCGTACCAGGAGCCAGAAAGCATAGGTGCTGATCGGGCAGGTCATGCAGGGAAGGCAGTTCAGCGCCGTGGAGCAGCAGAGACTTGGACGCTAAACAGCTGTAAGAAATGGTCTCGGTTTCGAATGATACAGAGAGTATATCCATGTCTTCCCTAACGTGTTTGAGTGCTGTCTCTTCTCGTACAGCTTGGGGCAGCCTCTGTTGCCTTGCAAACGCAAGGGCGTCCGCGCCCACAGGCAGTCAATCAATCAATCAATCAATCAGTCTTCCCTAACATCCTATGAAGAAGTAAGACGTAACTCAAGATCAGAACCACTTTGAAGTGTTTACGTACATGTTCCCAAGCCGACAGCATCGACGCCACTTGCATAAGGCTTAGCAAAAATAGGGCAACACTTGCACAAGGCTTAGCCTTAAGGGATTTTTTGGTTTTCACGGCATTGTTGCCGACACTTGCAGCCGTGCGTTGGAAGATATGCCTTCTTCCCGACGTCTGAGGAAAAACGAGTTCGTGCGCAAAGTTGCAGCTGAGAGAATCCAGAGGCAGCAGCGTCTGCAATTCACCCGCGGTAAATGGATTGTTGTTTCTTTGTGTTTGCTTGTCGTTGCTGTGAGTTGCAATTTCGGAAGGACTTGGCGAGCTTGGTACAAGTACTGTCATGAGCTCAGTTTTCCGAGCAAAACTTCAACAGAACAGAGAACTCACTCTCGAAAGTCGTGAAGTTGATGGCTACAGTGCTCAGGCCAAGACAACTCGGATTGGCTCATGACAACGTGGATTGCGGCGACCATGATTCAGGTCCTTCATGCACTGTGTTGCACGGGACATGCCCAGCAACAGCAACCGTGCATGTTTGCCAGGCCAGATGGCGCTGTTACCACGTGAAGCGCAAGAAGTTGGACAAGGCCACCACCACCATCCAGAGGCCACCAGCCGTGCCGAGTGCTTCTCGTGTTAGACTGGCGGACGTGTTCCAAGATCTGGCCTTGGCAGAATCATCCGCGCCTTCCTGGTGCGTCGTATGCTGCTAAAGCGACGGAAAGCGGTGACTTGGGACGCACTCCAACCAATCGCATAGACTATATCCAACTACGAAGTCAAGGCTTTTGTGTTGTGACATGGTGGTGTCCGGCCAAGATCGTCATCCAGCGACACGCCAGAGGAGTGGTAACGCGCCGAGTGCCAAGCTTTCAGCCTCTGCTTTGATCAGGTTGGAGCCCTAAACCCTGAAGCCCACACTCCTGAACCACCCGAGGCAATCGGCTTCGTGCGAAACATCGGGCGGCAGCGCGTAGCTCAGAACCTATATGCGCAGCAACCAGAGCCCAGCAAAAGCATGCGAGAATTTGGCCTCGGCTCCTCGGCTGAGTTAAACCAAAACTGAGGTCAAAGCCCAGTCGCTCATTCGGGGCTTTCTGGCTCGATGCCGAGATGCAATTGATGCTTCCACACACCTGGGCACTGTGCAATGTTCTGTCAGGGCCGGCGGCGCGCATACAAGAAGCGTGTAGAGATGGACCAGACGGTGCCGCTGGCAAAGTTCCTGCCGTTAATCGAGCCACGCATTTCTCATCGCATACGAAGGGCAGCCCGATTTGGCCAAATTTTGCCCGGAAGCTGCCCGGCAAAATTTGGCCAAATCGAGCCGCGATAGTTGAAAAAAAATTTCGGGCCTTCAGAAAGGCGCGGCTCGATTTGGCCAAATTTTGCCCGGAGGCTGCCCGGCAAAATTTGGCCAAATCGAGCCGCGCATTTCTCATCGCGTTCGACGAGCAGCCCGATTTGGCCAAATTTTGCCCGCAGACTGCCCGGCAAAATCTGGCCAAATCGAGCCGCGCCTTTCTGGAGGCCCGAAATTATTTAAACTATCGCGGCTCGATTTGGCCAAATTTTGCCGGGAAGTCTGCGGGCAAAATTTGGCCAAATCGGGCTGCTCGTCGTACGCGCTGAGAAATGCGCGGCTCGATTTGGCCAAATTTTGCCGGGCAGCCTCCGGGCAAAATTTGGCCAAATCGAGCCGCGCATTTCTCATGGCATACGAAGAGCAGCCCGATTTGGCCAAATTTTGCCCGCAGGCTGCCCGGCAAAATTTGGCCAAATCGAGCCGCGATAGTTTAAATAATTTCGTTCAATTAGTTCATTCATTTCCAAATGGGGGGGATTCCCCAGCCCCCACCCCCCCCCTTTGGAAATAAATGAATTAATTGAATTAATTGAATTAATTGAATTAATTGAATTAATTGAATTAATTGAATTAATTGAGTTAATTCAATTAATTCAATTAATTCAATTAATTCATTTATTTCCAAAGGGGGGGGTGGAATTAATTGAATTAATTGAATTAATTGAATTAATTGAATTAATTGAATTGATTCAATTAATTCAATTAATTCAATTAATTCAATTATTTCCAAATGGGGGGATTCCCCAGCCCCCACCCCTCCCCCCCCTTTGGAAATAAATGAATTAATTGAATTAATTGAATTAATTGAAATAATTGAATTAATTCAACTAATTCAATTTATTCCACCTCCCCTTTGGAAATAAATGAATTAATTGAATTAATTGAAATTCAATTAATTCAATTAATTCAATTATTTCAATTAATTCAATTAATTCATTTATTTCCAAAGGGGGGGGGGGTGGGGGCTGGGGAATCCCCCCCATTTGGAAATAAATGAATCAATTGAATTAATTGAAATAATTGAATTAATTCAATTAATTCAATTAATTCCACCTCCCCTTTGGAAATAAATGAATTAATTGAATTAGTTGAAGTAATTCAATTAATTCAATTAATTCAATTAATTCAATTAATTCAATTAATTCAATTAATTCAATTAATTCAATTAATTCAATTAATTCATTTATTTCCAAAGGGGGGGGGTGGGGGCTGGGGAATCCCCCCCATTTGGAAATAAATGAATTACTTGAATTAATTGAAATAATTGAATTAATTCAATTAATTCAATTAATTCCACCTCCCCTTTGGAAATAAATCAATTAATTGAATTAATTGAATTAATTCAATTATTTCAATTAATTCAAGTAATTCATTTATTTCCAAATGGGGGGTGGGGGCTGGGGCATCCTCCTCCCCCCAATACTAAACCACGAGCCCGGGCCTCCCCCCAATACTAAACCACGAGCCCGGGCCTCCCCCCAATACTAAATTACGAGCCCGGGCCTTCCCGCAATACTAAATCACGAGCCCGGGCCTCCCCCCAATACTAAATCACGAGCCCGGGCTAAATCACGAGCCCGGGCCTCCAAATTACGAGGCCGGGCCTCCCCCCAATAATAAATCACGAGCCCGGGCCTCCCCCCAATACTAAATCACGAGCCCGGGCCTCCTCCCAATACTAAATCACGAGCCCTCCTCCCCCCAATACTAGGGCACAGTTTTTGCTCCAAAAAGTGACATCGCAAGCCCTGGTCCCTAAGATTTTGAGCTCATTTCTTGCCCCAAAGAGTAACATCGCAAGCCCTGGTCCCTATTATTTGGGGCCCAGTTTTTGCTCCAAAGAGTCAAATCGCAAGCCCTGGTCCCTAAGATTTTGGACTCAGTTTTTTGCTCCAAAGCAAACCCTGGTCCTTAAGATTTTGTGGGCCCAGTTGCTCCAAAGAGTCAAATCGCAAGCCCTGGTCCCTAAGATTTTGGGCCCAGTTTTTGCTCCAAAGGGTCAAATCGCAAGCCCTGGTCCCTAAGATTTTGTGTTCAATCTTTGCTCCAAAGAGTAACATCGCAAGCCCTGGTCCCTAAGATTTGGGGCCCAGTTTTTGCTCCGAAGAGTCAAATCGCAAGCCCTGGTCCCTAAGATTTTGGGTTCAATTCTTGCTCCAAAGAGTGACATCGCAAGCTCTGGTCCCTAAGATTGGGGGCCCAGTTTTTGCTCCAAAGAGTGACATCGCAAGTCCTGGTCCCTAAGATTTTGGGTTTTTATTTTTGCTCCAAAGAGTGACATCGCAAGCCCTGGTCCCTAAGATTTGGGGCCCAGTTTTTGCTCCAAAGAGTAACATCGCAAGCCCTGGTCCCTAAGATTTTGGGCCCAGTTTTTGCTCCAAAGAGTGAAATCGCAAGCCCTGGTCCCTAAGATTTGGGGCCCAGTTTTTGCTCCAAAGAGTGACATCGCAAGTCCTGGTCCCTAAGATTTTGGGTTCAATTTTTGCTCCAAAGAGTGACATCGCAAGCCCTGGTCCTTAAGATTTTGGGTTCGTTTTTTGCTCCAAAGAGTGACATCGCAAGCCCTGGTCCCTAAGATTTGGGGCCCAGTTTTTGCTCCAAAGAGTCAAATCGCAAGCCCTGGTCCCTTAGATTTTTGGGTCGATTTTTGCTCCAAAGAGTCAAATCGCAAGCCCTGGTCCCTAAGATCTTGGGCCCAGATTTTGCTCCGAAGAGTCAAATCGCAAGCCCTGGTCCCTAAGATTTTGGGTTGATTTTTGCTCCAAAGAGTCAAATCGCAAGCCCTGGTCCCTAAGATTTTGGGCCCAGTTTTTGCTCCAAAGAGTCAAATCGCAAGCCCTGGTCCCTAAGATTTTGGGTTCATTTTTTGCTCCAAAGAGTGACATCGCAAGCCCTTGTCCCTAAGATTTTGGGCCCAGTTTTTGGTTCAAAGAGTCAAATCGCAAGCCCTGGTCCCTAAGATTTTGGGTTCAATTTTTGCTCCAAAGAGTCAAATCGCAAGCCCTGGTCCCTAAGATTTGGGGCCCAGTTTTTGCTCCAAAGAGTGACATCGCAAGTCCTGGTCCCTAAGATTTTGGGTTCAATTTTTGCTCCAAAGAGTGACATCGCAAGCCCTGGTCCCTAAGATTTGGGGCCCAGTTTTTGCTCCAAAGAGTGACATCGCAAGCCCTGGTCCCTAAGATTTGGGTTCAATTTTTGCTCCAAAGAGTGACATCGCAAGCCCTGGTCCTTAAGATTTTGGGTTCGTTTCTTGCTCCAAAGAGTGACATCGCAAGCCCTGGGGCCCAGTTTTTGCTCCAAAGAGTCAAAATCGCAAGCCCTGGTCCCTTAGATTTTTGGGTCGATTTTTGCTCCAAAGAGTCAAATCGCAAGCCCTGGTCCCTAAGTTTTCGGGGTCGATTTGTGCTCCACAGAGTCAAATCGCAAGCCCTGGTCCCTAAGATTTCGGGGTCGATTTGTGCTCCACGGAGTCAAATTGCAAGCCCTGGTCCCTAAGATTTTGGGCCCAGTATTTGCTCCAAAAGGTGAAATCGCAAGCCCCGGTCTTTAAGATTTTGGGCTCATTTCTTGCTCCAAAGAGTAACATCGCAAGCCCTGGTCCCTAAGATTTTGGAATCGATTTTTGCTCCAAAGAGTCAGATCGCAAGCCCTGGTCCTAAAATGTTGGGCTCAATTTTTGCTTTTCCCTTCTCTTCTGCTTCCTTTTAACTGATAAAACACAAGAAAGGAACTCATATGATAAAGCAGTGGAAAGGTAAGCAGAGGGTGACTCCTTGCGCGTGAGCCTTTCCATAATACTCCATCATATTCATCCTCTCGGCCTATCTCTTCTGTTCCTTTCCTTACTCTTCTCCTTCTCATAGTTCTTCCTTTTTGTTTTTCTCATTTCGAAAAGAAAGAGGGAAGGGAGAAACAAGGGAGAGAGAATAGATAAAGAAGAGTGCCATCTTCTCTGCGCCTTGTTTTGTCTCTCCCTCTTCTCTATTCATCTGTCTTCTATTCTCTTCCTTGCTCTTCCCATTAAATATGCAATCCTTGGTATCTCTCCTCTCTCCTTCTCTCTTCCTCCAACAGATGTGCTTTTGGATCGTTTTCTGCATCTTCAAGCGAGAAAAAAGGACACAGACTGCGATTAAAAGGGACGCCCATGTTGGATTGGCAGCAAGCCCAGCTGATGCTCATGATTCTCTCTCTTTCCCTACACATGGGCGATGGAACGGGTGTCCTTTTCAATCGTTTTCTGCATCTTCAAGAGAAACAGGGACACCCCACAAGAAGGAAAAGCAACATAAGAGATAGGGAGGGAAATTGACCCTTTCCTCTCTTCTTATCTGCTATTTTTCTTATTCGCTTCAAAAAGCAACATAAGGGAAAGGGGATTTCCTGAAGAGGAGAGAGGGAACCTATCTGTGAAAAGCAAGAATGGTTTTTTCTAGTTCGAAAGGGAATAGGGAGAGACAAGGGAGAGATGATATGTACAGCTTTGCGCCTTATTTTGTGATTCCGTCTCCTTGCTTCCTGTCTCTTCTATTCCTTGCAGCACGCTTCGGGAAACATAGCATCCTTGTTATCTTTCCTCTCTCACTTCCCTTTCCCTTCTCTTCTTCCGCTTCCTTTTAACTGATAAAACACAAGAAAGGAACTCATATGATAAAGCAGTGAAAAGGTAAGCAGAGGGTGACTCCTTGCGCGTGAGCCTTTCCATAATACTCCATCATATTCATCCTCTCGGCCTATCTCTTCTGTTCCTTTCCTTACTCTTCTCCTTCTCATAGTTCTTCCTTTTTGTTTTTCTCATTTCGAAAAGAAAGAGGGAAGGGAGAAACAAGGGAGAGAGAATAGATAAAGAAGAGCGCCATCTTCTCTATTCATCTGTCTTCTATTCTCTTCCTTGCTCTTCCCATTAAATATGCAATCCTTGGTATCTCTCCTCTCTCCTTCTCTCTTCCTCCAACAGATGTGCTTTTGGATCGTTTTCTGCATCTTCAAGCGAGAAAAAAGGACACAGAATGCGATTAAAAGGGACGCCCATGTTGGATTGGCAGCAAGCCCAGCTGATGCTCATGATTCTCTCTCTTTCCCTACATATGGGCGATGGAACGGGTGTCCTTTTCAATCGTTTTCTGCATCTTCAAGAGAAAAAGGGACACCCCACAAGAAGGAAAAGTAACATAAGAGATAGGGAGGGAAATTGAAGAACTCCTCATTGTACTTGGTCATTCCCTTTCCTCTCTTCTTATCTGCCCATTTTCTGTGCGCCTTGTTTTGTCTCCCCCTCTTCTCCCATCATCTCTCTTCTGGTCTTTTCTTTGCTCTTCCCATTAAAAATGCAACCCTTTTTATGTCTCCTCTCTCCTTCTCTCTCCCTCCTCTTCTCCTGTTCCCTTCTAAACGACAAAAACGCAAGAAAGGAAGAATAAGAGGGGAATGGAGGCCCTGTTCCTTTTCCTCTTTCAATGGATGGGGGAAGTGGGCGGAGTTGGCCCCTTGCCCGTACACCCTCCCCATGCTTCAGCAAACCCCTCCTCTCGCCCTATCGCCTCTGTTTTTTTCCTTGTGCCCAAACGGAAAACGAAAACGGGTTCCTTTATATGTTCATTGTCCTTCCTTTTGTTTTTTTATTTCACAGGGAAAAGAACCAGAGAAGAGGAAGATAAGAACGAGAGGTGAGATGAAAACGGCACCATCTTCTCTTTGCCTTATTTTTGCACCTCCCTCTCCTGTCTTAATTTCTCTTCCACTCTTTTTTTCCATTGCTCTTCCCATAATATTGCATTCCTTTTGATAACTCACAGGAAATTAAAATGGCCTCCTTGTTGTCTCTCCTCTCTCACTTCCCTTTCCCTTCTCTCCTTCTGTTTCCTTTTAATTTTAACTGATAAAACACAAGAAAGGAGCTTGTAAAATCAAGCAGTGGAAGGGTAAGCAGAAGGTGACTCCTTGTGCGTGGACCTTTGCCGTACTTCACCATACCCCTCTTTTCGGCCTATCTCTTCGGCTCTTTTCCTAACCCTTCTTCTTTTCATCTTTCTTTTTGTTTTTCTCATTTCGAAAAGACAGAGGGAACGGAGAGATAAGGGAGAGAGGATAGATAAAGAAGAGTACCATCTTCTTTGCGCCTTGTTTTATCTCTCTTCTATTCTTTTCTTGGCTCTTCCCATGAAAATCGTGTTCCTCTTATCTTTCCCTCCTTCTCTCCCTTCTCTTCTCCTCACGAGAGCCTTCGACTTTAGGATTGAGGAGAAAAAGAGAAGAGAAAAGAGGAACTACCTGGTTCTTGTTCCTGAGGCCTCCATAGTACGACTGACGTGACAGCAGCGTACCCTCGTGGAAACGTGTATGGCTATAAGAAAACCCGAGTCCCAGCTTCCAAATAGACCCTATTTAAGCCACCCACCCCCCCCCCCCACCCCCCGATACTGCTTGGGCCGAGCTCCTGAAGCCTAGACTGGATGTCAGTATTGTCATGACGAAGAGCGTTGTGATTTGTGCCGGTAGAACCATTACTACTAGTGTAAGTATGATGATGATGATCATCATCATCATGCTTGCAAGCCAGGCTTTGACCATCCAGTGCGCCCTGCGCCCACTCCTCAAATTCTCCCTCCATGCCTCCGAAGCTTTTTGTTTGCCCAGTTCCTCAGGCACCCTTCTGAGAGGTTTCTTGAGAATAGAGCAGCTTGCTGTGATCCTTAATGATTGGAGAAGGTCGCACACGGTCGCAAATTCGGAGGCCTAATTTCGAGCCACTCCGAAACCTCAGTAACCAAAACCCCAAAACCGCCCGACCCCAGTTATAGGGTTCTTTAGGCAGGGGGGTCAAGCAAATAGGTACCTAGGGAGCCTTAGGGAGTAGTGGGGAGCATAAGGGAACCTTGGGTTACATACCCCCCTTGAACCCGCCGCCACCTTAAGAACCCTATAACCTAGACCGGGATCGCACACCTGCAAAGGCCAACACCTTGCGCGAAAGGTTGTGCAGGCAGCGGACACGCCATACTTACACACTCTGGTCTTAGCAGGGGGATGTGGGGGGCTTCCCAGGGTTTGGCTGTTTCGGGCTTTAGAGGCTTTATAGCGGCTTGAGGGGGTCCATGAAGCAAGGGACCATGATCTTGAGAACTGCCCTCTTGGCTGCTACACCAAGAATCGAGGCATTCTACCTGCGAATGTCCGTGTTTAGGAGTTTACACCTGATCCGCGAAAAGACTTTCCCAGCAGGCATAGTTGAAGCCTGTGACCCTCAACCCTATAAATTAACCCCGAAGCCCGCAGGTTCGGCGGGACGCGGAAGCCTACTCCAAGGCCGGTTCCTAAAGGTTGAGGGTTTGGGGTTTGGGGTCTAGCCTTTACTGCACCAAAACTGGCCCTAATAATTTTCCTGGGATTTGCCCAGCAATTTTGGATTTCGGTTTGATGCTGCTGAAGTTTTTCAGAGGGAAAAAAGGAAGAAGGGGGTAAGTCAAGGTGCCGCCAGTGACTTAGTTACCTAATCTTTGTTGATTGCTCTGCTTACGTCTGTCTGAAGCTTGATACATTCAGAAACTCAAAGATGTTGGGATCTTGATGTCGCAAGACGTCGCAAGCCAGATGCTGCATGCTGAATTCCGCAGGATTGTTTCGTGGCTGAGGCGTTTGAACTGAGTGTCGCTGTGAATCTTGAGGCCAGGGTAGATGGCGCGGTCAACATCCAGCGGGTCTTCCGCGGCATCGAAGGCTGTGGTGCCTCTGTTGAAGAGTCTCTGGGTCTCTTGCCACCTTGCGGCGACCCCATGAGACCATGAACTGCATCAGGCAGAAAGAGAGCAGCCCAGAGGCAGGAAGAGCCGGGGGCCCAGCATCGAACAGTACAATTGGGGTTAAGTTTAGGGTTTAGGGTTTAGGGTTTAGGGTAAGTTTAGGGTTTAGGGTTTAGGGTTTAGGGTTTAGGGTTTAGGGTTTAGGGCTGACTATCCTCAAGCCGAACCCACAACCCTGAACCGGGGTGTTATGCAATTCGCACGCCTGCGCAGGCACAATACAGCGCTGGAGCAGCAAAGGGCTGCAACGAAGCTGCCGGCATCCTACAGGGGCTGCGTGTGAGCTGTTGCAAGAGGCACCTCCCCCCCCCACCCCCCATGGTAGAGCAGCCTACCCCCTGCCCTGGTGTCTACCCCTTCCTCTTCAGCCAGATTTCAATCCTCCCGCCCTGTGGCGTGGAACATGTTGTGCCCCACGCGCCCCTCCCCCGTTACCCTCTTTAGCCCATGTTTGGCTCCCCTCGCTGCCCGTCCCCCCACCCCCCTCGCACAACATGTTCGACACCACAGGAACGGAGGAGGGGGGGGTGGGGGGTGGCAGCCCTGCACCACATATGTCGACTTGCGATCAACATCTCGCGCTGTAAAAGCTGCTCTGAGTCTGTTAGTGTTTGTTAGTGTCTGGTCTACTGTCTGCCATGCTCCTGCCTTGCCTACGCTGTCATTAGTTACCGAGTAGGGCGTTGGACAGGGCTATGTCTGGTAGGAGCATGAATTTAGACAGTGTGCATCCTGGACAAAATGCGAACTTACACAGTGGTAGTTTGAAAGCATATGAGGTAGGGTGTGCTTTTGGTGAGTGTATATAAGGTTCCTTTTGAATATTGGTGAGTGTATAATATACCGGGTGTCCTTTTGGGGTACAAGACATATATGCCCTCCTTCATACAATCGCTGGCAGCTGTGGCCAGGCAGGCGATGGCGAGGCGTGATGCCGCCACCAAACGGGTCCGGTTCTTGAGCTGGTGAGGCTTCCAGAGAAACGGGCCACAATTTCATGACAAAGGGCAGCATTTGCCGACGCTTGCATGATTGCCACTACTTCCACCAGACTTCCATGCTGAGGTGGACAAAATAAGAGCCGAGAAGTTCGAGCAGATGGACAAGGTGCAGATATGTGCAGACTCTCTTCACCTTTCTCCATGTTGCTCTCCGAGCGCGGAGGCCGCAACGTTCATCCGAAAAGTGTGGAAAGGAAAGAAGACACGGCGACAGTGCGACGCCCATGAATCGCTTCTGTTCCTTGTGGACAAAAGGAACCCGAAAGGGGTTTCTAGTTCAATATACGTACTACCCTAATCGGGATTATGGTAGTAAATGATTGAGGGTTTAGGGTATGTGGCCCAAGCTTTAGGGTTCGGTCCCCAAGGTTGTCAGTTCCGCGTGTACTCTTATTCGGTACTCGGAGACTCCTGACAGGTACCAGCAGCTAATGGAGGAGTTTGGAAGGTGCGCGTTGGGAGGGAGTCTTTTCTCGTGGTGACACTTTGGTGTTCTTGTTGTGTCGTGCTAAGCGCCAAGCACTTTGTAAAAAGTCGAGAGCAGAAGCGCAGCATGCGGTGAGAGTGTTGGTGCGTTTGTGCCGCAGGCACGTTGGCAATGTCATCACAATCCAGCGATATGCTCGTGGCTTTCTGGTGCGACTTCGCATGTGGAGACAAGTCACACTCCTAGCCAGTGAACGAGGCATGCCACCGTCATTTCATGGCAGCTGTGCGCCAATGATGCATAAGAGCCACAAGAGCACAAATGATCTGAGGCAGTTCGTGCTGAAGAGGAGCTGTGGGCGACCCTGGAGATCCAGCGTGTGTGGCGTGGGTGATCCCCCCCACCAGCTTGAATCAACAGTAGCCGTGTATTCTGACACCCATGTCAAGCTCTTCCGGATGCCTCGTAGGTATTTGGGCCGCGTGAAGTGGGAGGCCAAATATGAGGAGGCCCGGTCTTCGGCAGCAGACTCTGGTGCATTATTATTATTATTATGATTACTATTATTATTCTTCTTATTATTATTCTTATTATTATTACTATTACATGCCTTTATGGACTATGAGCGATAAACCATCGCTCGTTGCCAGGTTTGGCAGAAGGAAATGGCTGCCGTCCGCGGCTGATGACATGACTGGGATGGTGCTGCCTCAAGATCTATTCTTGAAGTCTTGAATCCTACTGCTGAGTTTGCAAGAAGAATCGCTAGATGAGTGAACCTTGGATCTCAATCGGAATCCGATGAATGTGGGTTCGCAGGGCACAAAGTATGCAGGTGTTGCGTAGGAAGAAATCATAAGAAATCCATGGCGCAAGAGGTGTTTTGCACGTCCTTGGCAACATGTCATGACATGTCTTGCAGATGACGGCTGCCAAGGCCATGATCGAGAGAAACATCCGCGGTTGGCTAGCACGCGCTAAGGCGCCTGCAGCCGAAAACTTGCAATGCTGGAAGGGTGCTTTCAGAGTTCGTTCTGATTAGGGGAGCGTGGAGAGTGGAGCTACCTTGGCCTTAGTTCCAGCACTTACATAGCGAGCCATCCAAGGATTGCTAAAAGACAGGATTGCAGAGGCGTAATGCCATCGGAGTCCGGCTTTGGAGCAAGGAGACTTGCTCCCAGTCCACTCCCGCACAAAGAAAGGCGTCCCAAGCCCAAGCCGGTGCGCGCAGAGCGTCGGGCCTGGATTCCTATGCCCTACTTTTGCCTATGCCCCATTAAAGAAAACGAGCTGCCCGGTAAATCCTCAAAAAAAGCCCATGAACCCTATAAACCCCTCAAAGGAGAGCGAAGGCCTGGCGGAAGATGATACTGGGGTTGGGCACTCCAGGGGGGAGACTCTGGGGTCGGGCACTACAGAGAGACTCTGATATCCTCCAGGGAGCCTCTGGGGTTGGGCACTCCAGTCTCTAAATTGGGCACTTCAGGGAGTCTCTGGGGTTGACCCCAGGGAGTTTCTGGGGTTGGGCACTCCAGAAATTCTCTCGGAGTAGACCGGGCGAGGAGAAGAGTTCCAGGCGAGCAGAAGAGTTGAGTTTAAAATCTAATAACCCCACACCGAAGGCGCCGAAGGCTCTAAGGGGAGTGTAGCCTAAACCAGGGCCCAGGTCCCGAACAGGTGGTTGTGGGGATGAGTAGGATTCCCACCATTTCGGGGTATTCTGAAACGCTGGCCCCTCGAGAAAACGCCGTCCTAAACCCTGAACCACTTTTAAATGTGAGCATTCTATGATGCCTGAAGGTGGGACGCATGCGCCGCAGAATCGCGCGCGCCGAGCCAGGATCCCTACGAAGATGACGCACATACACACACACATATTGCAGTTACTAAGTATTTAATTATTTAATGTTATTGCGCCTATTGCTAGTATGATAGCTGCTATGCATACAGATGTGGGTCTTACTTTTGACACCTGTTTTCGACCATTGGTCAAGAGTCAAGAGTCTCCACCCAATGCGCAGACTCAGTGTCCAAAACTCATGCACAAAAACAACATACTATCTGACAAAGACGAGGACAATGATGAACACCCATCAAGTAAGATGTTAATGAATTCTGGCACCCGTGTTCTCGCCTCTGCAAGGTGTACCTTGAAGGGGTTGTACGGTCCGGGAGCCGATAGAACATCTACTATTGTCTTGGAGCTTGCGGCACGGGCCTTGAGGCCCAGGCGAAACGTGGCGTACTAGGCAATTTTTGCAAAAAAGCGGAACATCATATAAACCCCCCAGCCTCTGAAGCCCGACATGTTGATGCACCTGCAAGAGAGGGTTTACGTCAGAGCGCACGGCGGACCCAACCAACCAGATTACCCCGTTTGAAGCATTTTGGGGTACAGGCAACCTGAGGAGTACCCCGATGTATAGTTTGTGAAATAGCTGCCCGTCCTTTTTGTTTGTAAATGTGTCCATTGCAACTCCTGCAACGCGTGGGGCCCTGCTCCTAGTGAGATTCATTGTGTTAGTTTTGCCACAGGTGTAGAGGACAGTGGAAGCTACGTCTGTTGCTGCTTCGTATCGTGCGTACATATATATATATATATGTATATGTATACATGTATGTATATATGCACATATAGCTATATATATATATATGTATATAGTAGTGGATGGTGGAAGGTTGTACAGCGCAAGTATTATTAGCAGCTTGTGCTTGTCCATGGATTCGGCTCGCGAGCGCGCCGAAGATCTCAGGTTTGAGCGTGCCCGCAGGCGATTCCGAGCAGCGCAGCAGATCCAGGTTCTCGGCTGGCTTTTGAGTGCATAAGATGGCAGAATTAGGCAGAACATGTCGGACACATGAGAGGCGCCCTGTTCACTGCAGGCGCTGGTGCGTGGAGTTCTGGTACGCCTACGGTTTGTGCGGCGATATATCAGATCCAGAACAGCCGCTGTTCAGGGCCCAGAACACGACAATGCTTGGCAATAATTACAAGACTGGGTTGGACGTCCGTTTATAATGACCCTTTCTAGTTTGAAGATGACCTTCTTCGGGAATATGTCAGAGGGTTTTGGGGGCCAACCTAGATTACGAAGCCCATCAAGCTCAGTGGCAAAGCAGTCAAGTGACCGCTGAGGTGCGCATCCAAAGAGTAGCCAGGGGCCATGCGCTAAGAAAGCGCTTGTGGCAGCAGGCAGGTCCACTGTCCATCTTTTACATGTGGAGCAAATTCTGAACCCGCGGTACCCTCAATGGAGTCAACAGGGTTCATATTACACTTGTATATATGTATATGCATGGCTACTACTATGAATCCTAACGCGCCATGTAGGGGCCCACAGGGGGATATATATATATATACATACATACATACATACATACATACATACATACATATATGTATATATTTACACACATGTGTGCAACACATACATGTACTTCATACATGATGACTCCTGTAAGAGGGAGCAGCTTAGGGAACCTAGTTTACAACAACCCTCGATGGAGAATATGTATCCGCACCTGCCGGCCTCACTGAATGTCGCGGCAAATCTGCATTTTATACCACGCAGGTGAAAGTACAGAAGGCCACCTACATCGAGGCTCGCTTGGGAACACCGTGAAGATCCTCAGAGTCTTTTTTTGAAGCAGTTGCCAATGCAGCCTCAGTGGCCACAGCGGCTTTGACGAAAGATGAAGATTGCAGGCTCATGCGAGAGGCTTCCTCGTAAAGCGACGTCGGCTTCACCTGCCGCTGCACTGTATAGCGGCTTAGGGTTTTCGGGCTTGGCCTTCGAGAAATCTTGATAAGCCGAGTGGAAGTTTTGTCCAAAGCCAAGGATTGCCAAGGTGATGTGCATCCAGCGTGTGTGGAGGCTTGATCTTCTATCCAGTCGCGGGTCGTGACGTTCAGATTTCTCGGCCGCACGTGCGCCTAAGTGGCTTGTTTCCTTCACTCCCGCAGGAGATTTCATGAGAAGCCACCAGAAGAGCGAGATGCTGCTGTAGCAAGACTCCCAGCTGGCCAAGCTCTGGCTTTCGACGTTGCTGCAGGACGATGAAACATGACTTAGTTGACACAGAAAAGCCAGAGCCACCATGATGATGATGACGATGATGAAAACGACGAGAACCTAAAGCCAGTGGCTGGCTAGCGCCAGAACACTTTGAATGCATCATGGCCTGTAGCTGGATTTGAGCGCGGCAAGAGCAAGAGATGTCAGCGAAACCCAACAATGCCCAGAGTCTGCTCCCAGGCCCTCATGAAGGAGCGCAAGGAGCAGGCCTAGGGGTTTGGGTTTTGGGTTTAGGGCGTAGGGTTTAGGATTTAGGGTTTTAGGGCTTCGCCACAAGTGACAGCTTGTCGTGACTGAGCAGCAAGACAAGGGTTGTGGCCGTCAGGCAGCGAAGATCCAGAAAGCTTTCCGGAAGCACGCCGAAAAGAAGGCCCGTGTCGGCCCGTGTCTATGGTTTCTCCGCATGGCACAGAGCTCTCTAGAAATCCTAAACGGGCCTAAACCATGATAAAGACTACTAGATGCCCACCGTCTGACCTCCAGTAGGCATAGGTTTACAGGGCTTAGGGCTGGTGTCCCCGTTAAACTGCTTTGAACCAGCTCATTATCCCACATTTCCTGGCAGGAAGTTCAGCGGATCCAGGAAGCTGACGCGACCGTGAGGTGTGCAACTGAGGTCTTTCTCATTCCTTGGACTCTTGCAATCCAAAACCTTCCTTAGCTTCCAAAGCCTTTGAAGCCCTCCGATTGGATCCTACTGGAAGTTCAGGCCTTGAACAAGCATGGCCGGCTGGCCGCTCAGCCTGGACACCGTGAGTGTAGGTTTAGGGTAAAGCCGGTCAAATTAGATGCACTGTAGGATCCCAGAAAAAATCGGTGAAGCCTGCTATGAAGTCCGGCCCCCCCAATGCTTAAGCCATGCAAAGGCAAAGCCCTCAGCCCAGCCTGGCGAATACGGTAACGAAGACATCGGGCGGAAGACGGAAGGCGGTATTCGCATGGAGTGGGCGCCAGATCTTGCTGTTGAACTCAGGTTGAACCCAGGTGCAGTCGCACAGTTTCACCCGTGAGAATGCCCAGTGAAGAACACACTCGGTTGACAGCATGCCACAGACCTACTTTCGCTGAACATACCACGTGTCACCCATGTCAGACTGTGAAAGGAGAAGTCAGTGCAAGCCACCAACCTTAAGACAGACCCCCCGGGTCTTGCACTCGATCCTGTATTCCCTCATCCCCAAGGCCCTGCAAACCCTAAACCCTAAACTCTGAGGGTCATGAAAGAACGGATTCGGATCTGTGGGCCCCGAAGATGCGGCTCTACGGACGAAAGGCAGCTGCCAATCCACGCGGCGAAAGGCAAGAAGACACATCTCCGTGCCATGCGTCTCCAAGACTGGCATGGCGTTTCGGAAGACATGCTTGTTTGTTCATAAGGCGTTGTAGAGGATGTTTCTGGAAGACTGTTTCCTTGCCAAGATGAGTGTGGTGCTGTGCGCGCGGAAGCATGCGGAAGGGATTGCGGAAGCATCTGCTTGCGGAAGCTCCATGGAAGCTTGCTGCGGAAGCTCCAGCAAAAAGCTTCATTAATAATGACATACTACACATCCATGCCTGTGTCCGGTGGGGCACCGATCCGCAAATCCTCGCAAGGGGATACGGGAAACCTGCACAAGGTCTGCAGAAGCTGTGCGAAAACGCGGAGGGCTCGAATCTTGGATCAGCATGCGTATAGACTTGCAAGCATTCAGACCCGGTTGCGTAACCAAAGCCCATATGTTCGACCATGTTAACTGTCGGATGCGATTTCACCCCCATGGGCTTGCGGAAGGCGTCCGCGCAATGGTGAAGAACCATCGCACGCAAGCTTCTTGGAGGTTCGTGGTACTTAAGAATCCAATTATAACTGTACATATAACCCAATTATAACCCTATTAGGGCACTTCCAGGCCTTATAAATGGGTTATAAGTACAGTTATTGGGTTATTAAGTACCACGAACCTTGCACCTGAGAAAGGTCCATGGAAGGGCTCGCGGAAGGGCCCCAGAATTTCACCATAGCTTACATTGTTTCAAGGCTCAATGTCGTTGCTTTTGGTTTTTTGTGGTTGTTAGGAACCTAGTAGGGTACAAAACATAGGAACCTGAACTTTGAGCCTTTTAAGCCCACGCACGCCGGCACATGCTGTCAACCCCGGTTTTCAGCTCCAAACCCTGGGATTGAGGATATGGAGCGGCTAGGAGACTCGGCGGATTTCGCGGAAGCCGTGCGGAAGCGACGGGAGAGATTCTGGAGATGCGGCCCCACCTGTCTGACGCAGTGCTGAAGTGTGAGAGGTCAAAACCTCAGTCCACCCCAAAGCAGACGATTAACAAGACTTCTGCCCCCTTCTGGCGAAAATTCTGCGGAAGCAAAAATCAAAAGGGTCTGCGGAAGCATGCGGAAGCGGGGGTCACACAAATGTCTTCGCGGAAGCAAGGTCTGCGGAAAAACCTGCGTGCGGAAGCTTGCTTTTCCAAAAGAATTATCGGGAATGAGACCGGCGCTCATCTGAGATTGTAGTGCGGCAGAGTAGTGCAATGTCATGTACAGTGAAGTAGCAAAGTAGCAGCGGCAAGTCGAAGTATTGACTTGCAGCATGCTAAGCCGTCTATCTGCCCTGCTCAAGCTTCGAGTTGCGTGGAAAACGTACCCACGGGCATGTGTTGCCATCCATTCGAAGGCCTGGGCCCGATAGGATCTGCCGTGTCTCGTTCGGTGCTGTACTCTAGCGTCTCGGCCTCTTTTCGTGCAGCGTTATGGCTTCCCATGTGCTGACCTGGCCCATCGCATCTTGGCAGCGAGGCCGGCTCTGCGCCTGCGAGAAGCGGCCCCGTGGAATTTGACTTCGATGTTCGACGCTTGCAGCATCTTGCAGCTTGCGCCAGGAAATCGTGGACGCTTGCGCCGGGGCTTCAGGCCGGGGGCCTTGGAAGCAGCGCAACACTCTTGTCAGCCGCCGTGGCTGCCGCGCCCTCTCTCCCTGTGCACCGTCCCTGCCCAGTCATTTTGTGATGCTGTCGACGACTAAATGAGGAGGAAGGGTCCAGGAAAGGGACTTCAGTTTCTCAAAGGCGAGCTGATTGCCCAACTGCTAAAGGCCAAAGCTCGATGTCAAATGATTCGACGCTCCCCTGTGTCTCGTGGAGGTTCACGACTTTTGCGGCTCTGTCCTCAGATTGAAATGCGTTCCAAAGCCTTCGGGGCGGGTGTCGAAACAAGCTGCCCGGGGCTTTCGCTCCGACATCCCCAAGTTCAGCGGCAGCATCCAGCCAGCCTTATGCGAAAGACTTCAAAGTCAGGAATGCGCCGGCAGATGTTGGAGCCAAGGACAGACACACACAGACACACACAGACGCAGACAGACACAGACCCAGACCCACCACAGACCCACAGACCCACAGACCCACAGACCCACAGACCCACAGACCCACAGACCCACAGACCCACAGACCCACACACCCACACACCCACACAGACCCACAGACCCACACAGACCCACAGACCCACACAGACCCACAGACACACACAGACCCACACAGACCCACACACCCACACAGACCCACAGACCCACACAGACCCACAGACCCACACAGACCCCCACAGACACACACAGACCCCCACAGACACACACAGACCCCCACAGACACACACAGACCCCCACAGACACACACAGACCCCCACAGACACACACAGACACACACAGACACACACAGACACACACAGACACACACAGACACACACAGACACACACA